CTACCCCACCCCTACCCTAACCTACCTCTACCCTACCCTACCCTACCTCTACCCCACCCCTACCATACCCCTACCCCACCCCTACCCTACCCTACCCCACCCTTACCCATATCCCCTACCCTACCCTAACCTACCCCACCCTTACCCTAACCTACCCCACCCTACCCTAGCCCTACCCTACTCTACTTTATCCTCCCCCACCCTACCATACTCTACCCTACCCTACCCTACCCTACCCTACTCTACTCTACTCCTACCCTACTCTACCTTACGCTAACCTACTCTACCATACTCTACCCTACTCTACTTTACTCTATTCTACTCTACCCTACCCTACTCTACTCTACCCTACCCTACTCTACTCTAACATACCCTACTCTACCCTACTCTACCCTACACTACTCTACTCTACCCTACCATACCCTCTACCCCACCCTACCTTACCCTACTCTACCATACCCCTACTCTATCCTACTCTATCCTACCCTACCCTACCCTACCTTACCATATCCTACCCTACGCTACTCTACCCTACCCCACTCTACCCCACCCTACCCCACTCTACCCTACCCCACCCCACCCCACCCCACCCTACCCTACCCTACCCTACCCTACTCTACTCTACCCTACCATACTCTACTCTACTCTACCCTACCCTACCCTACTCTACGCTACGCTACCCTACCCTACCCTACCCTACCCTACCCTACTCTACGCTACGCTACGCTACGCTACCCTACCCTACCCTACCCTACCCTACCCTACCCTACCCTACACTACTCTAAGTTGAAACAAATCTAAAACATAGTTAGAAAAATCACTGAATATAAACCGATTGAATAGAAATAATTACAACATAAAAAAAAAGTTTGGATGAGGTCAACACAAATATTTTTATGAAAGAAGATGGAAAACTGGATATGTAAAATGGTATAGAGTAGAGCAAACTACATTTTATAATAAAAAGGTTTCGTGTTAGAAAGGGGAAAAACTTATGAATATTAAGTTTGCTATCTTTAATACGCACAAAATTTAAAATGAAAATACACACGTATGAATTTTTTCAAAATATAAAATTTACTTAAGTTTTTAATTAATTAAAAAATAGTAAAATTTGCTTAAATTTTAGAAAAATATATATTCTTTCTTTAAAAATAAAGTTTAATATTTATTGATAACGATTATAAAATATAATATTTTTTTGAATTCTAAGCAAATTTTATTATTTTTTATTTAAATAAAATTATATTATATATTTTTTTAATATATATATTAATTGTTTAATTAGTACTCATATTGTATTACTAATGGGAAATTCGTGCATTCGTACGAATTCTGATGTGGACATGCACTGAGAGTAGAAATATGATTAAAAAGATGTGGCTAAAACATGAGATTTCAAAAACCAATTTAATTAAAAAGAAAACCACTTACCATGTAAAAATTAGCCATGTACTATGGAGTGGCACCAATTTGTACTTGAGAATCATACATCGCAAATCCAACCAATTGGTAATAAATTAATCAACATACTTGAATAAATTAAATTCGTATAAATAGCCGGTTCCAATATAAGAAAATATTTATAAATGAGATAAGAGTGACTTTATATTCTCAATGACACTCCTGTGATGGGAGGCTGTTGGAATGGATGGTTATTTGAAGTCTCAAAATAATAAAATTTTCTAACTATATTATATAAATAATAAAGTGGACTGACATGCCGACTATGCCAAACCCCCGGTTAAATAATAAAGTGGCTGTTGGAATGGTTAGGTAATATTTTTGCTTTTCTAAATCTGTAGTTTTAATCTTTAGTTGACGATTTCAGGTTTCCAGCCGACATGATTATAAGGCCAGTTATTCTCAATGTGTCATCCCAGTACACTATAATAAAACAACAAGTAAACAATTTTAGTACACTATAATAAAACAACAGGTAAACAATTTTAGTACACTATAATAAAACAACAAGTAAACAATTTTAGTTAGTAAGAGAAAATCAGACCGTACAAGTGCAATGATGTGCATGTATGAAAATGGAACATAAACTAAAAACTATAAGTGCATAAAGTTGCAAGAAAAAAAGCTTATGAAAAACTATATGATAATTAAATATCATGTCAAACTTACAGGTATGTGTAAGTTACAATAGCAAGGAGTAATATGAGAGACCAGAAGACTTATAAGAAAAATCAACGCCAATGACATGTGCAAGAAGAGTAAATGTAAAATTAGTTCATGGAAAAGCAATAGATACGAAGAACACATGGAGAGTGATAATCTATGTAGATAACATCAAGAGAGTGACAATCTGTGAAGATTCGAAACATACCTGTTCCAAGGCAATACTTGCACCCGGTTTCCCGACCAATCTTCGAATATGGGCAGCGTTGCAACTCCTCTGGCAGAAGACATTTATACAATTGCCATCTTCAGGAACTACTACAAAGTTGCATTCATATTGGCTACAAAGACCAAATTCCAAATGGCATTCAAGTTTGAAGTTACAAATTTCGTTTTGGTACAAAGAGATTTCAAGTAACATTCAAGTTGTTATATAACTTTAGTACATGTGGTAACTCAAACATTCCCATCTCATCATCTCTATGTCAGGTCCCATCGGTTCAACTTCATCAAGATATCTTCCATTTCTTCATTGTAAAGCCTTTCTTTTAACACAGTCCATGTACAAAACCTGTCTAGCAATTAACACAAGAAAATATCACAAAAAAATAGAGTTGTCAACATGTGAGTAACATGACTCCATTTCTGATGAACTCTGTTGCCCCTAATGCCGTCCATGTTCAGAAAGTTCTCCGAAATAACCTGGACACAAAACTCATAAATATTCAATATTCACTTACGATCAACCAATAGAACATATAAAAGTAACTTATTTTTCGGTGGCAGTGACGACATTGTGATTCATGCGATATCAAGTAAGAGACTTTGTTGACAACACCAAATTGAACATGTCACCAGCCTACAGAAAGAGCAGTAGGCATAAACAAATCGCTCATTCACCGCGACAAAAATAAGACGAAACTACCAATAAGACTGCAGTAAACCAATGACTAAAATAAGTTCATAAATGTAAAATATTTACAACATTCAAAACGATACTTTTGATTCTAAATGACCTGAAGCAGCCCGTCCACGTGACATTATTCCTCAGTGGCATTTCATCGAACAGTACACATGCATCAATAAAAGAGCTTATAAAATATTATGGCAATAATAATTACGTGCAACAAAATAATATCACGGTCCTCAAACGAACAATGAAATATTCAATTCAAACCTTAAGAAACCGGCGTTTCAACTTTATTGCGGTCCTCAAATTAAACTCCTTCGGATATTCTGTAACAGCAACGTCAGCCACATTATCGCCCCGCAATCGAACTCGAGAAACCAAACCCAATAATTTTTTACAGCAATAATCTTTTTCATCTTCAAAATTTTTATTTATTTTATTTCCTAACATGAGTTATGTTCGACAAATTGCATTTTGAAAAGGAAATAACTTTACCAAAAAATTAAAAACTCAATAGCATGTAATGACTTTGAAATGTACCGAAACGGAGCTTACATTGGTAAAGGCTCGCATATGTTTTAACATCAACAGCATCACCATCCAATGTGAAAAGTACCAAATATAGCTTACTTCACCGAGCCTCTATTTGTCTCCAAAACCTTGCATCAAGGCTATGCCAAACACATAAACCTGCATAATCAGAACTTTAACAGATCCAGGGTTGCTGCATTAAGTTTTCGTGAAGTAAGTCCCATATCCAAACATCTAAACGGTCCTGCACATAATCATGAAAAAACCAGTCAGCAGATAAACCTACAGGAATCGGTTTGAACAATGATTTGCTGCATAATTAACCTACGCTAAACTAGTTCGGTTCACAACATAAACCAATATCCAAAACATAAATCGTACCGCTACGTACATCACATAACAGGAAAATGTGATGAAAAGGCAAATAAGAGAAATTAAATCAAGCATTTCAACTCAGGAAACAACAAAAAAAAAAATCAGAAATAGAAATTAAATTAGAAAATTGTTTACAGCATTAAACAGAACTAACAGAATTTCACAACAACATAACTAACTTTTTCTAACCCCTAACCAACTCACTAACATATAACCGATTTCCAACTGAATCTTCCATTACCAGCTCATATCCTAACAAATTTCTAACCCTCTAACTAATTCTATAACAAACTCTATCACTATATAACAGGATTTCAGATTCAGCCACTGGGAGCAGATACGACCCAACGCTTTCACAAGAAAAACCAGATTCATTTCACGAATTTATCAGAAAATTAGAATCAGAAAAAAAACTCACCATTCTCCTCGGCACTCTTTGGATTCTCTGCTTCATTTTCACCATTCTATAACACACAGAAGAATCACCAAAATCTTCAACAGCCTTTCTCTGCTCCCTCTTCCATCATCTTCATCACTTGTTCAATTCTTCTAGAAGAATCACACAAACACAAAAAAATCTCAAAAGTGATTCATTACAATTATTCAACACCAAGAAAACCTCTCAAGAAGATCTCTCTGAAATCTAGGCTTCAAGCATCTGGAACCTTCATCTTCTCAGAACCGAGCCTTAAATTTGTGGCAATATTCACTCTCTATACAATCTTCCCGCAACATTCATGTTCTTTAAGATACTGCAACAACATCTTCAATCTTCACTATCAACGCTGCATCAACAACTTCATCCCAATTCAACCGTGAATCGTCATCACATCACACAAAAAATTTCAGATTGCACAAAATCGCAACAATACAAAAAGCAAAAGAAGAAGAGATGAAGAATGAAATAAAAGAAGCATGATATTAAAGCGGTACCTGGATTTAACTTGGGAATTCTCTTCTCATCGACAGCGTGAATCAAGCGCCTGACTTTCTCCGGTCGGTACGATTTCGATCTCTTTCACCTTTTGTCGCATCTTCTATAATTCGGGGATGAATCTTAAGACATTTCTCCAGTAGCACTCTCCCTCCTTGGAGCCTTTAGGTTCCATTTTTTTAATCGATTCAGAGTATAAGCGAAGACAAAGATTGAATTCGAGAGTTTAGAGAAAGTCAAAGGTCGAACAGAAGATGGAGAAGAAGAAACGTCGCCGTTAAAGCTTAAAGGAGAATGATATTTCGGTACTTTAAGAAACCGGCGTTTCAACTTTATTGCGGTCCTCAAATTAAACTCCTTCGGATATTCTGTAACAACAACCTCAGCCATATTATCGCCCCGCAATCGAACTCGAGAAACCAAACCCAATAATTTTTTACAGCAATAATCTTTTTCATGTTCAAAATTTGTATTTATTTTATTTCCTAACATGAGTTATGCTCAACAAATTGCATTTTGAAAAGGAAACAACTTTACCAAAACATTAAAAACTCAATAGCATGTAATGACTTTGAAATGTACCGAAACGGAGCTTACATTGGTAAAGGCTCGCATATGTTTTAACATCAACAGCATCACCATCCAATGTGAAAAGTACCAAATATGAGCTTACCCTGTGAAAGTTTCAACAGCAGCGGCGACCCCATAATCACCTGAATCCAACACTTTCACTATAAAGATCAAGATAAAGATACAAACGTTCAAAAACTCGTATGAAGATACCACAAAAAAAAACACTTCAGTCTTGATGATGAAACTTTCATGTTCCGTTTCGACAATACCTCTTCCATGGTACAACCTTTGACCAATACCTCCAATGTCGGAAATCTGCGAAATTGAAAAAACAAGAACATAATCAGACATTGGAAAATAGTTCTTTTTATCAAAAACTTAAGAGAGACGAACAGAGAATGATCTTCGAATCCACCGTGCTCCAAAGTTGTCACGCAAATTGCTTAACACCGCATCCGCGTGTCCTCTTCAAGTCGTCGCTACCACACCGCCACCTTATCACATTCCGTCGCCGGTAAGTGTAAGTTACAGGTATGTGTAAGTTACAATAGCAAGGAGTAATATGAGAGACCAGAAGACTTATAAGAAAAATCAACGCCAATGACATGTGCAAGAAGAGTAAATGTAAAATTAGTTCATGGAAAAGCAATAGATAACTTTAAGAGAGTGACAATCTACGAAGAACACATGGAGAGTGATAATCTATGTAGATAACATCAAGAGAGTGACAATCTGTGAAGATTCGAAACATACCTGTTCCAAGGCAATACTTGCACCCGGTTTCCCGACCAATCTTCGAATATGGGCAGCGTTGCAACTCCTCTGGCAGAAGACATTTATACAATTGCCATCTTCAGGAACTACTACAAAGTTGCATTCATATTGGCTACAAAGACCAAATTCCAAATGGCATTCAAGTTTGAAGTTACAAATTTCGTTTTGGTACAAAGAGATTTCAAGTAACATTCAAGTTGTTAAGGTTTCAAAAATCCAAAGCAGTATGAACAATTCAAGCCAATCATGGCAAAAGCATTGACACATGAGGGAATATAACTTTAGTACATGTAGTAACTCAAACATTCTCATCTCATCAACTCTGTGTCAGGTCCCATCGGTTCAACTTCATCAAGATATCTTCCATTTCTTCATTGTAAAGCCTTTCTTTTAAAACAGTCCATGTACAAAACCTGTCTAGCAATTAACACAAGAAGATATCACAAAAAAAAATAGAGTTGTCAACATGTGAGTACCATGATTCCATTTCTGATGAACTCTGTTGCCCCTAATGCCGTCCATGTTCAGAAAGTTCTCCGAAATAACCTGGACACAAAACTCATAAATATTCAATATTCACTTACGATCAACCAATAGAACATATAAAAGTAACTTATTTTTCGGTGGCAATGACGACATTGTGATTCATGCGATATCAAGTCAGAGACTTTGTTGACAACACCAAATTGAACATGTTACCAGCCTACAGAAAGAGCAGTAGGCATAAACAAATCGCTCATTCACCGCGACAAAAATAAGACGAAACTACCAATAAGACTGCAGTAAATCAATGACAAAAATAAGTTCATAAATGTAAAATATTTACAACATTCAAAACGATACTTTAGATTCTAAATGACCTGAAGCAGCCCGTCACATACCTGTTATTCTTCTTCTCATAACATGTAATTTGCATTATCTCTCTGCATTATTCACAACTTAGGCAATGTGACAGAGCCTAGATGAGAAAGCTCGAAATATTGGCAAGCAATCAAATAAATTTTTTTTTAAGTTTTAAAATATTGGAAATATCACAAAAAGATCTAATGTCATGAAATGTTTTGGGAATTAATGCTCTAGGCCTCTGGCTGACATGATAAGAGGTTCATACTTCTTTGCTGGATTCATACACCAGAACAATAGAGTCCCAATAATATCGATCAAAATAAATCAATTTTGACCAAAACTCCATCTCATGTTTTGGTCCGAATTCAATTGATTTAGGAAAAATAATCAACTTCATGTAAGCTCAAGGAAACATAAATTTAACGCCAAAGGTGCAGTCTTTTAGATCGAGAGTTAACATTCAATCAGTAAATTACATATGGCACAGAAAATAGAAAATTCACTCAATCTCACAGTATTAATTTGTTACATCTTCAATTACAGTGTTAACAACATACCCAATTAGACTACATTGGATAGAAAGGGAATCCTATTATGCACCTAGAAGATGCAGAATAAAGCACATACTCCCTCCCTACACATTGCTTTGCTTATAAAAATTGGTGTCAAGAACTTGTTTGCCACCCTATAAAAGTAAGAATAACAATGAACACACGACGAAGAAATATCGCTGATACAAGTAAGATTCATACTGTTCTCCATAGTTATAGATCTCATGTGACATCTTGAAGAAAAGCTCAGGTTGAAGACCTTGGTAAGGCTGAATTAATTCACAGTTCCCGTAAACCAATGACGATGAGTTAGGACAATCACCACCAGAGTTGATTGTAGGTGCTGCTGCTGATGTTGCAAACCAATATCCTTAAATGTCATAATTCAATATATGGTACCTAAAACCGGTTTTGGAAGTGAGAAGTTGCACTGCAACCTGACAGAAGATTAATTCACTAACCCAAAAAGCAGGATAAGGACAAGTTTCAATCCTACTAAGATATGAAGACATAAGGGTCTCATATAACCCTATTCTTATCTTGTTTGAATCCTACTAAAATATGAAGACATAAGGGTCTCGTCCAGATCCTTACGATAAAGCGCGAAAATTCACCTGCAGATGCCTTTCAAATGCCTTTCACAACATTCACCTGCAGATTGAATCATCTATTAATCAAAAGTACTGTATTTCCTTATATGAGTACATGAAGATGAACATAAAATAAACATCTACTCAATGCACAACCGAAATTCGCTGATTTGCATCAGCAGCATAAAAATAAAAGCTATAATCACAGGGTACCTAATTACAAGAATTTTAATTTTGCAGATAATTTCTTCATACAATGTTTAGCAGCACTAACAATGTTTTATATGTCATCCAATTTCCAAATCATATACCTTCCTTTTTTTGTTCATATATTGAGTAAGTTTCGCGTCCTTCCTAGAGTAAATAACTTCCAAGTTTCCCAAGCCTACTTTAAACGTATCACTATGACTCCTTGATCTATACTCTATATGGCTATGTTGTATGTTATTTTCCATTGGAATAGAAGACCCTAGAAAATTTCCACATTCAAGAACCGAAGGGCCATCCGTGTTCTTCCAATCTGATAACTGAAGAAAGAGAAACCACCAGAAGTCATTTTTATTAATATAATCATTAAAAAAAATCCCAAAATGAAATAACAACTATTTTACATTTATGAGCTTATTTAAAATCCAATGTGAAAAGTACCAAAAATGAGCTTACCCTGTGAAAGTTTCAACAGCAGTGGCGACCCCCATAATCACCTGAATCCAACACTTTCACTATAAAGATCAAGATAAAGATACAAACGTTCAAAAACTCGTATGAAGATACCACAAAAAAAAACACTTCAGTCTTGATGATGAAACTTTCATGTTCCGTTTCGACAATACCTCTTCCATGGTACAACCTTTGACCAATACCTCCAATGTCGGAAATCTGCGAAATTGAAAAAACAAGAACATAATCAGACATTGGAAAATAGTTCTTTTTATCAAAAACTTAAGAGAGACGAACAGAGAATGATCTTCGAATCCACCGTGCTCCAAAGTTGTCACGCAAATTGCTTAACACCGCATCCGCGTGTCCTCTTCAAGTCGTCGCTACCACACCGCCACCTTATCACATTCCGTCGCCGGTAAATTCAAATTCCATATCTTTCCATTTTTCAGTGTGAAGAAGAGGAAGAACGGAAGGAAGAAGGAAGCATAAGGCGTGTAGAAGGAGAAGAAATAAGAAGGTTTAGGGTTAGGAATTTGTAAGGAAAGATGAGACTGCAGAGAAAGAAAGGTCGTCAAAAGGAAGAAAGAGAAAAAGAGAGTAAAAATGATATGAATTTATGTGAAAGAGAGATATAACAAAAAGGATCCAATTCTTTAATACTATAATTGGACAATTCGTTATAGAAAGACCAAAAAACCAAAATATTTAATAGTCATAAAATAAGTAAGGATGGGTAGTGATGTCTTTTCAAGAGGTTAAAAGATTCTTACATGATAAATTATTTTGAATTATCATAAGATTTTTTTAAATTTTACTAAATCAATAAATCTTTTAAAATCAAGATTTAAAATGAATAATCACATAAATAAATTTTTATCAAATTAAAAAGAAATCTTTCAAAATCAAGATTTAAAATGAATGGTTACATAAATGAATTTTTATTAAATTAAAAAAAAAATTAAAATTCAATATCACGTGGATTTAAAATATATATTTAGTTGATTACTGTTTTATCCTTTTGTATTATGTGTTTTTAAATTTATAAAAGAACATTATAGAGTGTTTATACCTATTTAATTTTAATGAATTGACAGTTTATTTTTAAACGCCACCTGTAATTCTTTTATTTTATATATTATATTTTTTTACGTTTTTTAATATTATATTAATTTATTTTACATTTTCTTAAATTAATAATTTTTATTTATAATTATTTTAAATCAATGAAGATTTATAATAGTTATTTATAAATATTTTCATTTGTACATAAAATTTTGATGTGAGACTATAATGTTTCAAATATATGCTACTGCAAACCATCCCAACAAGTTGTTTTCATAACATTGTATCATTTTTCATGTGATTGTTCATGAGCAAGTTCTTTTTCAAATGT